GTGCACAATTGAGACTACGATGCTCATGCTGTTCTATTTTCACCTTTGCTTCCTATACATCTTTTCCTCGACGAATCTGTTTTGTACGCTTTTGAACCGCAGCGTTCCCGTTTGTATATTTGTTTGAAATATACACTTATTATTATTATTATTATTTTCATTGCTAGGTCTGCTTCGTGGTCAGTAGTCAAAACTGTTCGATTGGTAGATTTTACTTTCCAGTTTCGTGACTGTTATGAAGTTCTAGCAGTAGATTACGTGATAACATGAATGCTTTCTCTCCTTCCCTTCCCTATTCATCAGCTGTGGGGTGCCAAGAGGGTCAGTTCTAGGTGTATGTAGTGATCCTGTAAGGAGTACGAACGCAGTACGGTAAGAATTCTAGGTAACCAATCCGAAAACGGATTTACCGACCAATCCGGTGTTCTCAATTGACCCTAACCGGATTGGCTGAATGGAAGAAGGCAAACAAATAAACAATATCGTTGTGGATTGGACATTGAAGAATCGACTAATGATTATTTGATGCCTTTGATTTATATGCATAATTTTCTGAATAGAACTAATTGTATCCACAGCTCGTCTTGGTTCTATCTCACCCAGCTTTATTCAATGGGTTTTTAGTCTGAATCCGACTTCGCGCTATTCGATTTCGATTCCTATTCCGAATACTACAGTCCACTCCTATTCTTTCTATACATTCTTGATCTTCCCGAACGCCTTGGCACGCCCAGCTATATATTTGCTGACGACGTCAAGGTTGAAGCATCAAATGAGAGAGCATTATTGCGAAGGGACATATAGAAGTACCTCTGTTAGCAAAACGTATCGAAACCCACGTAAAAAGCAGAAATAATGCGTCTGCTTTGGGTGGAAAACGCTACTCAGAGGGCCTCAACTTTATATAATTTCGGGTCTTTTTTATAGATAGCACGAAAACAGCACGTGAAACGTACGAAAAGCCTCGGTCACGTAGGACTTTTGCAGAACATTTCACCCCGAACTCGAGCCATTTCACACTGTGAATTTGATCGGATAAGCCCGAAAGAGTTTGTGGATATTTACAGAACGAACGTAACCGCAATTAACAGAACTCAAAGAGGGAATGATGGAGTGAATGATTGGGAAATGTAGGAAATTACAAATAACGTTCCTTCGTGTAGTGCACCAGCAGAAAAATACAAT